GAAGATAGATCGAGCCCAAGTGCACTGCCTTCCTCCCTTCTCCGAGAGAGCTCCTTGCCGATGGTTTCAAATGCATTCTTTACTCTCTCCCCATCATCGACTTTGTTCATAACGGTCCAATGAGGGCGAAATCCTCCTGCATCCTGTTCGCTGAGAAAAGGCTCCCACTGCGATTGGAGCTGGCAATGCACATGCTTCAACTTGTTGTATCCCACGTCGACATTGACTCCGATTCCCTTGCGCATCCGAAAAGGTTTGCCGGTCGACACAGCAAACGGCTGAATGCTGAGGGACATTTGAGATAGACCTTGCTCAATCATCGCCAGCTGAGAGTGCGGCAGCGCATGAAAGAGTGTCAAATGTGCTGGAATGTGGTTCAGCCTCTTGGGGAAGTGCTGCTTGCGCATCTGATTCATGGGTCTTGCCAGAGAGTTGCTGATCTTCACGGTGAGTACGTACACCAGCTCTTCTCCATGCTCGGTTTTCGGCTTGTGCTCGTCGCGTGAGCGTTCCACTTCCCCAGTAGGTCCAGGTTGATAGGCAGACGTCTTTTCTTCACTCCTTACTGCCTTGTTTGGCCAATCATGAGAAAGCGTTCCCGATTGGGTTTCAATACCAGGGCGTTGGGATCTTGTCGGACCTCCGAGGGATGCACGAGATCCGTAATCTGTCGATATCTGGGCTTTGGCTTCAGGTTGCCGATGTGTTCCGCTCGGCCTGCTGACGACGGCAGCATACGAGACTCCAGGAGTAGGCATGGCAAGGTTGGCGAGAGGGCTCAAGTTTCTACTGCAAGGCCGACGATATCTGCGGCTGCGCATCAAAGAGTGTAAAACACGGTACCCTCAGAAAGTACAACAGACGCGATGAGCTTCGAAATGGCATAGGGGAGTCATGACGAGATGCATACTGTGCGCAAGGTACTGTGTACGTCATTCAACAACGGCCGCTAGTATTCTGCCCACACTCGCATTGATGGGGATCCGATGGAAATGCACCAGTATCCATCGCTAAACAAGACAATTATGTTCAGCCACAGCTACTGGCGTGCGATGAAGTGTGGCTCGTACTGTGCGAATAGGTAGGGTAGTTCATGACCATTAGAGTGCCAAGAGCCCAAAGAGCAGAGATGGGTCGTATGGACATTGTATGGCACACCCGAAGCTACCCAACTCTTTAAATCAACGTCTGCTGGTGACTTGCCATTTTCCAGGCTCCACCCTCATGGCCCTGAGAGCCCTCCAGGACCCATGCACTGGAGCAAATGGCGCGAAAGGTCTCCTTGTTCCTCGTCGCTTCCACGCGGTAATAAATCAATGCGCTGTCCCTGCCCAAGATAATAACCTCATCGTGGCGAAGTGTATACCTGTCCCACGGTATAAAATCCGGGCCCTGCAGCATCTCCTGGACCGTCGGCGTGGAGACCGATGTAAGTATGAGATCTCCAGGAAATATCATCACCGGGTTGCTGGAGAGATGTGGGAGAAGGCTGGGGCCGGAAGTGCATAGCGCAGCCCAGGCCGTGCGCTCCATGTTGCAGATGGCCGCTGTGAGCGATGGGTTGGTGAGAATTGGTGTAGCCATGATTAGATTGGATATCTTCCTTTTTGCTTGCTTTTCTTGTGATTGACGAATGGAGTGAGTAGTATTGCTGTTGGATTGCGCGGGGGGGGGGCTACCCTGGGAGTTATTGCATCTTCATTGTTGCAAGCAGGCGGTGGCGTTGTTATGACGGAACCTGTTCTCATGCTTCATGTCCTCAATGAGGAGGATGGTGCTCTGTTTCCTGCCGTTCAGATGGTGCGCGAGTGAGTTCATGCCTTCAATGCTCTACTCTGTACAATACTGTACTGTACGGTCCATGTGTATATGTGCGCCACTCTCATTGCCTCCATACACAGAACCTGGCTCGGACTTGCGGTGATGGATGCCATTCGGCGCGTCTTCGGGGAGAAGTGAGTTGACCGACGTCACATGGTCCGGGCGCGATAACGAGCGGGGAAGCTGCGAGGCTGGAAGCAGTCGCGGCCTTGGAGACAACAGGCGTGGCCACATCGCCACGTTGCCACCGAGACGAAGAGACTGTGGAAGAGGCTGAACAACCTCAATACCGTACTTCAGCGCAAGCAGGTGAAGACTGCAAATTGAGAAAAAGAATGTAAAAATGCGTGACGCAAAGGCGCAAGCTTGCTGCTTTCGAAGCACCCGGAACGTTCCTGTCCTGTTGGCACGGGCACGGGCGCCTTCACGCGATTAGTCACCGCCGCTGGGTGAGTGCACTGCCACCTGATTGCCTCGCTCCATATAAAGACGCTGCCACCGCCTCTTCACCACAGATCTTCTCTTCCTCACACCACTCACACCCTGAACTCCTTGCTGCTCGCAACACACAGTACACAACACCCACCCACCCAAGTATTCAACACATTATACACACGAGCAAAGATGCAGATCTTTGTAAAGACCCGTACGTTCTCACCTCCACCCTCTGACTGTATCCGCTTGAGACACGCATGCTGACCGCTTCTTCTTTACAGTGACCGGCAAGACCATCACCCTCGAGGTTGAGTCATCCGACACGATCGACAATGTCAAGAGCAAGATCCAAGACAAGGAGGGCATTCCCCCAGACCAGCAGCGCTTGATCTTTGCCGGCAAGCAGCTTGAAGACGGTCGCACCCTGTCCGACTACAACATCCAGAAGGAGTCCACTCTTCACTTGGTCCTTCGTCTGCGCGGTGGTATGCAGATCTTTGTCAAGACCCTCACTGGCAAGACTATTACCCTCGAGGTAGAGTCATCCGACACGATCGACAACGTCAAGAGCAAGATTCAGGACAAGGAAGGTATTCCTCCAGACCAGCAGCGCTTGATCTTCGCCGGCAAGCAGCTCGAGGATGGCCGTACCCTCTCCGACTACAACATCCAGAAGGAGTCTACTCTTCACTTGGTTCTTCGTCTGCGCGGTGGTATGCAGATCTTCGTCAAGACCCTCACCGGCAAGACCATCACATTGGAAGTCGAGTCCTCAGATACCATTGACAACGTCAAGTCGAAGATTCAGGACAAGGAGGGTATCCCTCCAGACCAACAACGTCTCATCTTCGCTGGAAAGCAGCTTGAGGATGGCCGCACTTTGTCAGACTACAACATTCAGAAGGAGTCCACCCTGCATCTCGTCCTCCGTCTTCGTGGAGGTATGCAAATCTTCGTCAAGACCCTCACCGGCAAGACCATCACATTGGAAGTCGAGTCCTCAGATACCATTGACAACGTCAAGTCGAAGATTCAGGACAAGGAGGGTATCCCTCCAGACCAACAACGTCTCATCTTTGCCGGTAAGCAGCTGGAAGACGGACGGACTCTGTCGGACTACAACATTCAAAAGGAGTCGACGTTGCACTTGGTGCTCCGCCTCCGTGGTGGACAGTAGACGTGTATATGCTCAACGATATCATGGTTATGGCGTTCTCTGGTATAATGGCGCGGGTTCTCTGAAGGAATGAGATTTTATTCGTAGTCGGTGGCTGCTAGAAGCCATGATGAATGCAAAAAGAAGCATTGGCCCCACGGGCTGAGCCATCTGCGCTCAAAACTCGTTTGTGCCCTTTTTGTTACTGTGACGTGAAGTTTTGCCAGACGGGCTCGTTGAGCAGGCTGATGTGATTGATTTGACTGAACACCTTGATGGTCGATACCTTGTTGGCCCAATGTTGGCTAACTCGACGCGTCTCCACTCGTAGCCGTAGCTACCTCCCCCACCACTTCCAGCCTCACGTCCACGTCCACATTCACACCTACGGTATACGTTATGTATTATGCATTACATTTTATACATTGTATCCTATTGTATACCCGCCCAGACAAGCACGTCCAAGCATCCACAGACACAAACACGAGTACAAACACGAGTACAACACCCAGGTAGTCCACTCACTCCACTGGAATCCATCAACGATATAGCACTCATGGCCATGGGCGTGGAGTCGAGTCGAGTCGAGCGGACAATCCTGGCGTTTAGATCACCGCCACTACCACCCCCACAAGCAGCAATAGATAGGTCCAATACAATACCATACACCATCATCACTCACCCGCAGATCCAGATATCCCATGATCCAGAGCCCCCAGCTCGCGCAAGCATCCCTCCTCGACCAGCATATGTGCAACGTAGCTGCAAAAGCCCAGGGCGGTCGTGGCCCATGTGCGCGTACATGCACTGTACACGCAGAGTAAGCCCGGAAAATCTCCAAGCAGGAAGCGGAGACGAGTCCAGAAGACGCAGGATAAACGGGCAAGGGGGTTTAGTTTGCCTGATGGGCAGGAAAACCAGGGACACGTAGCGTTTGTGATTTCAACTTGGATTTTCGATTGAAATTTTGATTTTGATTGATCGATAGATGTAGTCATCTGCCTCGGAACCCATCCTATCCCAACCATCCATCCATCCATCCAGTTATCCCGTTATCCAGTCCCAGTAAAAAAGACAGACGGTCAGACAGCCAGACAGCCAGAGACAGCCAGCTAGATAGCCAGACAATGGCCAGAGGTACGTTGGGGCACCACAAGCCCCAACCCCCCAACCGTGCTGTGACCAATAGTAAGAAAAACGAGAGGGTAAAAAAAGGGGATAAAACAAGGGGATTTTGCCCAGCTGCCGAACAAACCCACATCTCCCTTACCCATTGCGGCTCAGAAAAATCCGCTTCTCTTTTCACTCTCACTCTCACTCACATACACTCTCACTCTCGCTCGCTATGCCAGTAACACAAATCGTCAGAAAGGAAAAAGAGGGAAAAAAAAGGACAAAAGTAGAGAAAAGATGGAAAATAATAGAGTAAAAAAAATAAAAAATGGAATCAATCATGTGAACATGATGGTCAGTAATCACCA